TACGAACCCGAACTTTTTTTGTACTAAGAAACCTGCATATGAAGTTTCAAAAACATATCTCAATTTTTACTCAAGTTACAGCTTGCACGGACGGACAGACAGACAGTCAACCGGATTTCAACTTTTCTCGTCACCGTGATCACTTATACAGTGGACCAATATAGTTTACATGCACCTATGTAGTTCTGTTAAATACGGCACGTTTATTTGTTATAAAATGAATAAATTTTGTGGTTTTTTCTATCCATTTCAAAAGATGTATATTTAACATTAAATTTAGCATATCAAAATATTTTTTTTTACGCAAATAAAAAAAAATTAATGCTAAAGCTTAAAGTAAGCATAATTTATATCAAAAAAGTTTACACACACTACAGATTATTTATATAAATCAAAACAGTGTTTTTGAGATGTCTAATTCCATTTCCATGAATTTCAATTATGATTTCGGGATTTATGCCCTCACGACCACTTTGAACACCTTGAAACCACTTCGTTCTGCTTTGGGATAGGCAATCATCGCCATCAACTCATTATGTAAAACGCAATAACTTCACTTCCAATCAATGAAATGTTATAAAATTCTCACTGGACAATCGATGAACGTAGCAGATACTAACGCACCAGTCGACATATACATAAATGGCGCCACCAGGGGGCGCTAGATTCAAAAAGTCCTGTTTACTTTGGAACGCACCTTGTATAACCCTATATAGATCTCGATTAGTTTTATACTCTGAAGCAACTGGTTGAATGAACACTTATTTTGATAGGATATGACAATTGGGCGAATGTCCTACCTCTAAAAGAAAAGAAATGTGCCTTGCATTTTGACAATTTGGTGTTAGAGTTATCCAGCGCAATCATCAGATCTGAATCCAAACGAAAAATTATGGAAAATATTAGACCCGTTAAACCGAAAAATACTGCGGAACTCTGAGAGAAGGTCTTTGAAGTCTGATATTCTGCTCCACTCTTTCCATAGCCTAATTAGGTCTATACCTAGAAGATGTGCATATGTATTAGACGATAAAGCCTACACTACAAAGTTTATAGTACATAAAAAAGTTCTATTTTATTGTCCGTAACAGTATGTATGTATGTATGTAAGTATTAATATATTATTTTCGATTTTAGGGTTAATTTGTGTGTACTCAAATCAACAGTCGTTTGAAACGCTGAAAGATAACTTGGAGCGCACTTTGTTATGTAATTTGGAATTAGAGGACAAATTTGAGAACTTGCCTATCGTTTTGGTGTATCAACCTCAGGATCTGAAAGAAAACGAAGTTGAGTACCTGCGTAATGAAGGATTACGATTATCTGAAATGCTACACTGCGATTTTATTGATCATCAACAAAATCAACAAAAATATGTCTACGACATTCTTAACATTGTTATTCTATCCTTAAGACTTTCAGAGATGAAAAATTTTGATTCGTATTCTTCAAATCATATTGATTTAAGAATACTTGTTTGTATGTTTTGTGGGGATCAATATGATATTGAAAATATTATAAACCCGCTAATAGCTGAATCGACAAACTGTAAATCGTCAGAACATTCCATTTTGGTTGACGTATTTATAGGAGATTCAAAAAAGCGGATTGAATTCATCCTTTCATCTTATCACGGAATAAACCAATATCGTGAGGAATTAATTCATGGATATATTTATTTTTATTCTGGAAAACGTCGATCATCACTTTCAAATTTAA